AAATTGCTCTTCAATCTACATTGTTAAGAAATGAAAAGGAAAGTCACAGGCTAGAAGAAAATATTTGCAAAACATCTATCTGATAAGGGAGTTTTATCCATTATACATAAAGAACTTCTAAGACAATCCTAATAAAAGATATGAACAGATACTTCACCAATGACAATATAAAAATGACTAATCAACACATTATAAGATGATAAACATTATTAATAGGCAGGAAAATGCAAATTAAAGCCATAAGGAGCTATCATAAATATCCATTAGAATGGCAAAAATGTAAAAGATTGGCACAATACCATGCTGGCTAGGATAGAAGAGTTAGGAGTTAGGAAACATAACATTGAATAGACACTATGTAAAACATTTTGACAGCTTGTAATGAAGTTATACATTTACCATACAAACCAGCAATTCCATTCCTAAGTATTTACTCAAGAGAAATGAAAACATATATCCACATATGAATGCTTATAGCAGCTTTATTTATAATAGATGAAGCTGCTAAAAACAAAAACATCCATTAAATAATGAATAGATAAATAAATTGTGGTATAGGCATGCAGAGGAATACTACTCAGGAATAAAAAACATCCAGATAATGATATATGCAATAAAATGAATGAATCTCAAAAGCATTATTCTAAGTGAAAAAAAGCAGTCATAACAGTCCATATACTGTAAAGCTTTATTTTTATATGGTCTTCTAGAACCGGCCAAAAAAATGTAAAAAAAACACAAAAAACCAACTAAAAAAGCTGATTTTAAAATCACGTATCTTTCATTTCTTCATCCATCCAATATTCTGTGACTGCATCTAACAGGTCCATTGCATCTTTGCTCTACCGGACAATGAGGTCTGCAAGGACCTTTAGGTGATGACTTGAGGATGGTGTCATCATGGGTTTTATAAAGTTTATGGCATCTAAAGGAGATAAGAGCAGCAACGTGAACATCAAGCTAAATGGAAATCAGTATGATAAGAAGGGTTTATGTATGACCATCTTGACAGGAAATATATTTTGAGAGATATAATGCATTCTCTATTTCACTAAAAATTATTATTATTATTATTGCTACCCAGAATGATGGTGTTTGGCTGGAGTCTATAACCCTTCCCTGAAAACATCCTGAAGCATAGTATAAAGTGGTTAGGACTAGATTCTTTATTGTTCAAGGTTGTATCGATAGATGAATCTACTCACTGAGTAGTCCCTTTATTTTTATGGTGAGGAAATTGAGATTCAAAGAAATTAAATGCCCAGAGTCAAATATAGGCAAGAACTGATAGGCGAGTCCTTTCTCTTAATTTCATTCATCTTTCCACTGCCCCAAACCTTGGAAGAATTTCTACCAGACTCCTGTATCTATATTCAGGCTTGAAGAATAGAATATGAATAGTGATTGTTCCATTCTTGAAATAGCAAATAGCTGTGACACAATAGGTTTCAGTTTCTTACCACCATGACTTCATGCTCAGATGAAATACACAAAACATGATTCTTTAAAGAAGTAGAGATTAGAGAGATGTCAATGCCAAAGTCTCCATCTCCAATGCACTTGGTTCTCACTGGGGTGTGTGTGTGTGTGTGTGTGTGTGTGTGTGTGTGTGTGCATGCTCCACCAAGTGGGGGCTTCCTCTGACCTTGAGGCATCTACTGTATCCAGCTCATGTATCAATCTCAGCAGCTGCTGAATTGATCCATCAAAGATGGAGACATTTCTTTGGAAACCCCTATTGTCTGCACAGCTCCCATTAAATTTGGACAGCTTCTTCCAAATGAGGCCACTAAGCTGCATTGGGAAGGGAGGAAAGAGAACGGGGGCAGGGGGAGGAGAGAAGGGGGGACACTCATTGCTGGTATGCCCACCCTTGTAAAAATGTAATTGCCACACATATTCCCAATAAAATACTCAACTGTCCACAGGGACAGGGTGGGGATGGAGGGAAATTCCTGTATTCACATGTAGGTATAATGGGCAGGTAAGTGTTGTATAAAGAGGAAGGGCAACAGATGGCTCAAGCAATGGTCACAACAAAGCATCACCAAGAAATTAGGCCTCACATAACAAGGGTAGTTGTTATGATTTGAATGTGCCCCTCAAAAGTTTGTGTGTTGAAAATTTAATCCCCCAATTTATATATTACTACTATCTGGAGGTGGAAATTTTGTGAGACAATTGGGATTAGATGAGGTTGTGAAGATGGAGCCTCCACAATGGCATTAGTGACTTTGTAAGAAAAGGAAGAGAAATCCGAGCTAGCATACTTGCTTTGGCCAGGTGATGCCCTACACCATGTTACGATGCAGCATGAGGCCTTCACTAGATCCTGGTGCCACATGCTCTTGGACTCCCTGGCTTCTGGAACTGTAAGCTAAGTAAACTTCTGTTCTTTTAAAATCACCTAGTCTCTGCCACTTAGTTATAGCAACAAAAAACAGTCTAACACAGCACAACCTGTCACAATTTCCTTCTCCCACCTTGTTATTCCCTTCTTTTCTGAGGTTGACTAGGTCATGGTGTAACTTTTTCAAAACAAATTTAAAAATTGGCCCTTGAAAAAAAAATCTAATGTTATGTCTACAAAATTCTCTTTGTACCAATTGAGCGTACAGCACATGTGGTCCAGGATAAAAACATAGAAAGCAGTTTTTGCAGCTAAAGGCCAATTAATATATGGGGTCTTTGCATAGTTTTCTGGCAGGAATGGGCTCAAAGTTCACCCTGTAAAAGGCTGGATGAAAATCAGCATCTTTCCTGAGATTCAGATTTACCATAAGGCTCAATCCAAACCTTGTTAAGATTTTTTTTTTTTCCTTAGAGGATTGAGAAGTCAATAATGCTCATCTGCTCTAACACAAAGGAGAAGCCCTGTTCACCATTGATGGAGGAAGGGACAACTGGTTTTTGCATGACCAGTTTCTAAGACATAATCTGCAGGTGTGCTTGGGTGATGGATAGGTGTCACTATGTCAGTAGATATAAAGAAAATACCTGAAAATAGAAAATATTTCAGCAAGGGAGTCCGACATGCCTAAAGCAGCCTCACTCCCAGACATGGGATCATTTAGTGAAGACAAGTGAGACCAGCAGTGGTCAAGGAGAACTCTTATACACTATCCTAAATTTTCATGGTAAGACTAGTGATGCAGTGTGAAATTCCAACAAACTTTTTTTTTATCCTCGCACTAGATAAATATTCATCTGGTAAATTGGATCCTGGAGTGGTGAAGGTGAATTAGGCCTGCAAAAAATTCAAAGTCCTGCAATTTTGCTACTATTGACCTGTCCATATGCCATTTCAGGGATCAAAGAGCGGTATTCCATACTGAATAGGTTTGCTTCTCTTTGTGTAAGCCCTTTCTCAAATGCTGAGAACTGCATAAGTAAGGTGGTTTGCAATACTAAAGGTCAATCCACTGTGCCCAGCCCCACCTACTTGTCTCACCCTCTCCTGATCACACAGGCATATGAATGAATATCAGTGCACACGACATGGGCTCAGTGGATGGCAGCCATGAAGCATGACACTCCCCCTGCAGCCTCAGAGAATGTTATAAGAATATACACATAGTGACAAAACCCCAAACCTCTATTCTCAGAATATTAAGAGAACTCTTCAGACAATTATTCAGATCCACAATTAGGTCGTGCTTCTAATAAAACATTAGTTTTATTAGAAACTAATTTAAAACAGACTTATTAAAAACAAACATGTTGTTTTCTTTCTGCCCATTTGCACCCCCAAAGTCCATGTGCTACACTTCTACTGTTCTTCACCACAAATAATGTGGGGAGGAGTTGGGCCACTGAGCAGACTCTAAGGATGCCCAGAACATTTGAGGGTGCAGTTTTCAAGCTAACTATTAGATGGCGGAGTTGATCCTGCTCACACTCAGTTACAGACAAAGCAGGGTCCCATGGAGATCCCATGAGCAGAGAGCTCTTAAGGCAGAAAGGAAGCCTGTGATGGGGGCTTCCAGGAGAGCCAGTGCCAACCGAGGGAAAAGTCAGTGAGCCAGAAATAGCTGATGCCTTTCAGCACCAGAGACCCTGAACTGCTCCTGAGCTAAGGCCATAGGAAGTGAAATCTTGGGCCAGCAGAGTCATTTACTCAAAAGCTAATGAGATTTGGATCTTTGAATATTATTAATTAAATTGGTAGCCTTCAAAAGACTATCCAAGGAGTAAGATGTCAGTGTCAGAGCAAACCTCATAACAGGAATCAAGTAAAGCCTTGATTATGAGAAACATGACTCCAAATAATAGGCAGGGACTATTGAATGGTGTTAGGACTTTTCTCTAGTTCTGATTCCTCAGGTCTGGGAAGAGCACATTGATCTCCAGTTCTTTATTCCTTCAGATCTCATCTGGCTGCACTCCCCTGCTGCCCCCCATCGTTGCTACACCCATGGTACCTTGTTCTCAGGATTCTCTTCCTCCGCAGGCTGAGGGTTCAAAGAGAACCCATAGTCACCCAGTCCATTTGCTTCCCATGTGGGGACTGCCTAGGACAGTTCCCCTGACAGCATCCCTATCCCCCTCCTGGGCATCTCTAAGTGGGCAGAGGAAATACTGTTCCTTAATCTATGGCACCCTGCACATTCCTGAATGGGACCTTTGTTGCTCCTCCCTCAGCTGAAGAGCTGTGAGTCCTCATAGCACCATGGACACCTTGTGCAACTGGCCTCCTTAATAGCCATCCTGGAGGGGTCTCTCCTATTGGATTACTGAATAATTGCCCACAGAGTCACTGTTCTGAGTTAAGGTTTCCCACCATCCAGGAATAGATCACGTAGCAATTCTCCTCAGGAAAGTGCCTCGAGGTGATTGCATTGTAGAGACTTGAGGCCTTGAGTGTTATCTGTGAACAGGGTTCATTTTAGAAGACAGAGCCTCAAGGTTGGGAATCAATTCATCTCTGGGCCTACAGAAGAGGAATATTATGGAAGAATCTACATGAGATGTTAGTCAAGGGAAAAGAAAATATTTCCTACCCATTAAAGCAAAAATCAAGCACTGAATCTGACTCCAGATGTAGTGAAGGATAAGAAAAGCCAAAAGTGCTAGGCAGATTGCTAACTCCTGTGAGAAAACAAGAAGAAAGCTTCACTGATTTTATCACAGTTTTTTTCCAGCATTGTTTAGATGGGCTTTTCATTTTGGAACATATACCTACTATATGCTCCTCATGGGGTAATTGTACTAGTATTTGCAGAAAACAGCTCTTTCTCCTCAACTTACATAAAATATGATAATTCCCACAAACTTTCTAGACATAATCAGTCTACTCTAATTTTATTTCTACCTAAAACTACCTCAAAAGATCTCCTCACACCAAACATTTATTTTTATCATTTTGCATCTGTGAAAATAAATGTCACCAAAGCATGTGGCTTTTAATTTTCCAATAATCATTTCTTTTTATTATCTCATGAAATTGAAGTCCCTTGAGCAGATGCAATCAAGAAAACAAGTCATTTTCTGATGTTTTAAGACATGTTGTTCATAATCCCCTGATGAGGGAGGAGCACAGAGCTAGAGAATGCTACCCTACAGCCTCTTGTTGGGGTAACACTCACACCCCACAGTCATTTAAGAATGCTCATGAGAATGAGTTACCATGAACATTCTTCTTCATGAAGAAACTGGAAAACATTTCTTCTATGAACTCTTCAGGACATGCAAACATCTAACTAGGCGTTAGGGAGAAGACATGGATTTCAAGCTTTCATTAAAAAAATAAAGAAGAAGAAGAAAGTAATCAAGAGTCTCTTTTCAAAATGTAGGTAAACCTGTGTTGTCCTGCCCCCAGGAGAACAAACTTAGGAAGCACAGGTTTAATCAAGCCAAGACTATCTCTGTTCAGCCATTGCTAGCACACCCCTAGAACCTCAGAATCTGAGGTTATCTTCCAGAGCAGACTTAAAACCAATACAAACATGCTCCTTGGAGGTTGCTGGGAATGATACAGAGGCAGGTGATTAGTCTTTGGAAGTCCAGAGGGGACACAGAAAATGTTGAGCAAAAGCAAGTGGATGCTGCAGAGAAGAACCAGGGACACCAGCCAGTCACTGCAGACAAAGCAGATCTCAACAGCATGCCTAAAGGGCCAGGCTTGCTTGCGCCCTGTCCCCTGTGAGGACAGGTGTGAGGTCACCACGCACAGGCAGAGTGAAATCAAATTGATTTTGTTCTTGGATAGAACGCTTTAAAAAACAAGCCAACATCAGAGGGTGAGGTGTTCCTATATTTTTCTGAGGGCCATGCTTTCTCTCTGCCCTTTGAAAGCCCTTCTTTCTTGCTGCGGCCTATTCCAGCAGGGACGCAGGGGACACAGGAAAGCATTCAGGCACAAGAGCTTGGACACTAACCTGAGAAGTAGCTGCAGGTGAACTAGTTTCCTTACCACTCACTGCTGCCCTCTCATTGGCTACGGCTTCTGTCACTTCTGCCTTCTGTACATTTGACTCCTCAGAACTTGGAGGCCCTATGTGCCCCAGACTTTCGCTCCCTGGGGTGCAAGGTGGGTTGGTGGTGGCTTTCCGGGTTTGGCCTTTATACCAACTAGGGTAAAACAAGGGATCCGCAGTTTCCGCTGCTGCAGGAACTGGAGTTTCAGACTCTGTGGTCTGCTGAGAGCCAGTGGGCACAACCTCCCCCTTAGTAAGGATAGATAAATTCAAAAATAAAAAAAAAAGAAAGAAAAAGAAAACGCAGTTGATTTTAGTTCCCTTCCCTTCAGTGTTGAACACTGTGAGTTCTCTGTGCACAATGCCTGGTTTAGAGTCTGTTGTACTTCATCCCCTTCTGGAAGAACTAGAGGCAGAATGCTGACCTCAGGGCTCCTCTGACAGGCCTCTGGATATTTTCTGTGCTTTTATTTCACTAGGTAGTAGCCCAGGAAAATAAGAAACAGAAGCTTCAAGTCAAAATTGCTTATAAAGTATCAGGTATGGGAGAAGGGTCAAAGTATTGATCAGAATTAACTTTTTGGCAATATATGTGGGCCCCCAAACTGCTTTTCAAAAGCTAACAACCTCATTGATCAAATCTAACCCTCATTTAAGTTACTACCCTTCTTTCAATTTTGGTGCAAGATTTTCAAGATTCTAGGAAGTATAAATACTATAAAAATTTTAAGCCTCATTTGCTATGGAGACAGAGCGTAGAATATAATTCCATCGCTGAGTTTCCCCTCTGGGGTTTTATTTCTACAGATGATTTCAATCCATTCTGAAAGCAGGTGCAAAAGCAGGGCTCCTCTTTGATGAGTCTGCATTGCCCACAAACTCAACAGGTTGGATCCTGTCTGCTGAAGTGTCATGAAGTCAGCACAAAAGATTGAAAACTGGTCAGTGACCTCCTAGAAACATAAGGTTAGCTGATCAGGTGCAGCCTCTGGGATGAGCTAACATCCTAAAAAGTCTTAAACAGTCCTGTCAACAGAGTCTCATCAAATGACAAACATACAGAAAACCAGGCTTCATTTGGTTGCCCACTGAAGGAAAGATACAATTGCACATTCAGGTGAGCAACATGAACATATAGTAGTGTAGTTTCTCTGTTATGTATAGAAAATTCAAATTTCTGAAAGTATGATCACTTTCACTTCTCACCTTATATTATTTGTCACACTATACCCTATTTGTTAAGCAACAAAAAGTGACCACATCCACATCAAGCAATTCTCTGTGAGTTTACATGTCTCTCTCTCTCTCTCTCTCTCTCTCTCTCTCTCTCTCTCTCTGTCTCTCTCTCTTTCTCTCTCTCTCTCACACACACACACACACACACACACACATTTTCAAAGACCACCTCACATCTGGGAGTGTCCACTGGTGGAAAGTGGTATTAGGTCTTGCCAACCAGCTATAACAACAGGGAACCTGTTGCATCACTTAAGGGAATTTTCTCCCTAACACTGTGACTGTCCTGAAAAAATTTGTCCGCTGAATACAAACATCTGTCATATAGTTATCTTTTTCTTAAGACGGAATAAATTGTTTTGGGTGTTCAGAAAGGAGGAACACTTGTAGAAAGGAACTCATGAATGGTTACCTGTGTCACTGGGGTATCCACAGCAGGTGGTAGGGTTGGAGGTGGCTCTGAAGAGGAAACTGGAAGTGCCCCGGGGACAGCCTGGAGCTCTGAGGCCAGCTGAGAGGTCTCCGAGGCTTTTGCAGGACTTTCATCTTCTCCTGATGACTCTATTTGAATATTTTCCACCTCTTCCACTTCTACTGCTTCCTCTCCTTCTTCTCCTTCTCCTTCTCCTCCTCCTTCTTCCTCATCTTCATCTTCTGGTAAGGTATTTTTAAGCTTGTTATGACTACCACTTCAGCCATGGAAATAGCTAATGGTCAGTACTTATGGCTCAAGTTAAGGTCAGAGCTAGGGATTCCTCTCCAACACTTGACAGTGGCCATAGTGTGCCATGCTGGGGCCTGTGCTTCAGGTTAAATTTGGACAAGATAAATGTGAAGAAACCATCGCCTTCCTCCTTGCTGTCCTCCCCAAAGCAAAGTCCCATACCCAATGCACCCCCCACTTCACCCCCACCCCAGCAGCCTGCTTATGTTTTTATCATATTGTGCCACCTCTGCAAGCTCCTGGAGGGCTGGGATTGTCGCTTATTCATCTCTGTCAAACTAAGTGCAACTCTCTTCCCTATCTCTGAAAACATACTTGTTTTCATTTCTTACCGCCTTTGTTCAGTTTTTGCAACAATTAACACCATGACTCTTTTCCTAACTCACTTCATATTCTCTCAGGCAACAATAAAGACAGACAATATTAAGTACATTTTTAAAAAAGACCTGTTACGAAGATTTGCCTCTACTATTGCATCCATGGATGCTGGTGCATTATTAGAGGTCTAGCCATGGAGTGTTTGTGGAGAATGGTGATAGAGAAAGGGAGAGCAGTGACTGAGGTTGGGGGTCTCTGATGGCTTCATGGCTGTGGTATACCTGTTGCCTGGGAATGATTCTGTAAAGGGTACAGGATTCCCAATTGCTATGGTGACGTCCCGTCCAAAAAGGCTCTGTGCAAGAGTCTTATCGGCTTCGACCTTGATCTTAGTCACATAGCTCCCAGGGATAGAGGAATTCTGAGCATGCAAGACAACCATAATATTTCACCAGCTGCTACTCCTGAGCCTGCCCACTTCACAGTAACTTTAGACAATGGGCTTCTTGAGTGCTGCACAAAGCTCCTAACATTGCACATTGCAACTGTGGAAAAGCTACATAGATGTTTCTAGTCCTGTCACTTTCTTGGGCACAAAGAGTAATGCTTTTATAGTCTTTAACTTGATTATGAGACATATATACATAAAACTGCTGGAACAGCTCTTTAGACACCGCTTCTCCATCAGAGAGCAGTGCTCCACCCGATCCCAGCCATCTATGTATGTGTGTGGGGGGGTGTGGGTGTGTGTGTGTATTTCTTAATCCCCCATCACCCCTCGATGGTACTGTGAGTTTGGCCATGTTGGTCATGGTAGTGTTATCATCTAGTTGGGCTAGGATGAGTCAAAGTGATCACATTTGGGGTCAACTTCACAGTTATTTTCCTCTTTTTAATTATTTCATCAGGATAAATTTCTAAGAGTTGGATTTCTGAGTCGAAGGTGAGGAGATGTTCATAGCTTCTGAAATCTGTTTGGTCACATACACCTGACCTTATTTCCAGGTTGTGACTTAGTCTATGACGTGTTCCTATTCTTGTCCTCTGATGAATGGTCAATCTGATGCACTAACATATCTAGCCCAGTGTCTTCTATGTTTTTTATTTTTATCTCATCCTTAATCTTGCTCTTTTTTTCTCCATTTTAGTGGTGTTTATTCCAGCAACCACAACATTGCTATAAAGGCATAATTTTAAACAGATATGCTCAGATATTTTAATTAGCAACTTTCACATATATAGATTTATGAGTTGGTTTTGGTGTTCAAGGAGCCCACAGAAGTAAGAGAATCATCATTAGAGAAATGGAGTTAAGTTGAAGCTTGGAGGAGATCACATAAAAATGATCGGACTCCTGCTTAGATCTTCCTAAGCTGACCATAAATAAGCCATCTGCAATAGCAGCCCCTAAGACAAATGACAAAAGAAGACAATCACACATGGTGAATGGTTTTCTGAGGAGTTCTTCTCCAACATAGATACTAAATGGATGGCAGCTCATTCTTTGAGAAAGCAATATCTGGATACTTAGTAGTAATCCTATCAGCCAAAGGATTATTTCTTTTTCTTTTGGGGCAGGGTGGGGTGGATACCAGGGATTGAACTCAGGGGCACTCGACCACTGAGCCACATCCCCAGCCCTATTTTCTATTTTATTTAGAGACAGGGTCTCACTGAGTTGCTTAGCACCTTGCTTTTGCTGAGGCTGGCTTTGAACTCAAGATCTTCTTGTCTGATCCTCCAGGGCCATTGGGATTATAGGCACGTGCCACCATGCTCGGTCAAAAGGATTATTTCTTGGATCACATCTCTGTATCTTAAGAATTGGAAGAAGAACATGAGGCTGTAATGTGGGCTCATTCTTCTGCCATATGTGAGTCATGTTTTGACTCTGCCAGTATTTCTACTTTGGAATCAGGGCAGGCAGGTAGTGGATCAGCCACGGAAGAAACAATGGGAATTTTCTTAGCTTGGAAGTAATCAGAGGCCTCTCCCCACAGAACAAGAGTGTCTGTTGTGGATTCTCTCCACCACCTTCTCATAGGGTTCATCCAACACATTCACCCCCTTCACTTGGATGATGATGGCCTCATCCTCCAGCCCAGCCACATCAGCAGGGCTACCCTTCTGTACCTCTTTGATGAATGAGACTGGCAGACCTTGAATTGCATTTAAATGAATACCATAGCCATTTTTATCTTTAATCAGCCTGCAGAGTTTAGGCCTACGATCTGCTACTTCCTCGGTAGTATCTGGACTTGAGACCTCCAGAGGAACAGGATAGAAGCTGGAGCCTCTTTGATAGAACCATTAGGCATTTCTTGACTTTGATAGTAGAAAAATGGAGAAACCGAGCCAGTCTGTATATATTATCCATCCTTTGTCTACCACCAACAGTGAAGTCTGATCTCCACCCTTTTAATCCTTTTAACCACACTGTCATGATCAAGGGTTTCCACAGTCTCACCATTGACAGCAACTACCAGGTCATTGTTCTTCAAGCCAGCTGCCTCTGCTGGGCTTCCAGAATCTATGTCCTTGATGATCTGACCTTTCTGTTCTGAGCATGCCTTCAGACAGAACCCATAGCCATTGCTTCCCTTCATTATCTCCACAACTCAGGGCTGATGAGGCAGGAGTTTCAAACTGGTTGTTTCCCCCTGTATCTTCTGTTCTCTGTGATGCTTGTCAGTTTCTTTGTTCATAAGCAGGATCACGACAGGGCTTCCTGACTTCTTCACTTTCCCCACTACTTCCTCATGGCTGGCATTCTCCACATTCTCTCCATTTACTTCAATCAGATGATCAGCAGCCAGGACACCAGCTTTCATACCCACACCCTGAGGAGTGATATCAGTCATGTACATTCCCTTTTTATCTTGGACAGTTTTCAGAGAAATGCCATAGTCGTTCTTCTCCTTCACCAAGTAGCAGAGCTGGGGCTGGATCCAAGTCTCCACTGCTCCATTCATCACAGGGGACATTTCTTATCATTTAAACCCAGATCCTTATGGCTCTGACCCAACTCTTTCAAGTCTACCTGCTTTTTTATGACTTTCTCATAGGAATCTCCACCCAGAACTATTAAAGTCAATGAATTCCCACTCTTCCTGACCAGATCCACCACCTGCATATGCTCTACCTTGTTGACAAAAATATTGTTGATTCTAAGAACTCTGTTTCCATCCAGAAGAACAGACTTCTTTGCTGAGCTACCTTCTCAAATCACCCTGACCAGGTGGTCATCAGTTTCCTTCTCAAGTCTCAGGAAGAAGCCATAGCTTTGCCCTTCTTTTTTGGACAGTTGACATTCCCAAGGGGTTGAAGGTGGAGGCCATTTCTTTACCTGGAAGGAAGAGGAGCTTCTCTGTCTCTCATGGATTCTCTCTTCTGTGAGCACTAGTCTTGGAACCCACTGGACTTTGAACAAAGATCAATTTAAAAGTTGATGTATTTAACAGGATGTGTGGTCTGAGTTCAAGTGACCTCTGCACTCCTTCTGCCAGCCGGCTGGGCCCTGAACTGGAAAACCTGAGAAACCCTCAGTAATCCCAGCTCTCTGGCCCACCTGCCTGGAGGTGCAGGGAGGGGCTTCTTGTCTTCACTCCCAGACAATGAGGAAGGGGGTAGGGGAGAAGAATCAGGAAGTAGGTGGTTCTGCATTCTTTCTTCTCTTCCTTGGGCAGATGCCTTGGACACCCAAACAACCCTCAATTCTGTTAATACTGTCTCTACTGTCTCCCATCCTGGGGCCAGGGCCAGGGATTATTAACAAAACACCCTCCCACACTAGGGCCATCCTGGGGAGTAGTAACCTGTACACTGTGGGGGTTCCCACCTAGAAGAAGGCAGAGTGCGTCAATCAACCCCATAAGTGGGGCAAATCCCCTCAGTTTACCCATCCTTCTTCCTACTGCCCTGGGAATTCTCACTTGCATGCTTCCTGAGCCCAGCAGCAAAGCTTCCTTAATCTTACTGCTCATGACACTTTACATCTCTGTGACTAACACTTTTTGTATGGTCAAGATATCATCATAATCATCAGCTGTTAAGTATTTGACTATCCAAAGTCAAATGCCTGATAATGGGATTAAACAGGCATTATGATGTGCAAAGCTGAATAAACACTGTCAACACACTATGTGATCCTGTTATAAAACAGAGCTTTGTCACGTTGGATTATGGTCTTTCTGAAGTTGTCAACATCCATTCTGGAGGTGATTCTGAATCCTCCCTTCCTCCCACCCAACTCTTCTGCAGCTTTCCCACACCTGAAATTTTGGCCAAATGGTCAAAAGAATAACAAACCTCTGTAGAAATCAATCTCACGTATTATTTTTTCTTCTCTATGGAGGTTGATTGTGAAGTGGCTCATGTTCTCATAACCATGTTCTATTTTCTCCATCTGAAATGCCTTTGATGCTTCTGAGATTCTGCAACAAAGACAGGTTGTCATTTCTGTCACTGTTTAAAGTTTGATAGCCTTGAGTAAAAAATAAAATATGTATTTTTCCATAAAATAAAAATGACTTACTTTTGTAACAGGGTTTTGGCATTCTGTGAAAGCAAACAAGAGACAGGCTTACTTAGATTCTTTTCATCCAAGATGATGGTGAGACTTAATCCTTTTCTTTGCTGACCCTGAGAATCTTCTAGCTTAGTTTCTAAATGCTGTAAATAACTGCTGTATTGTCAGGGGTCCTTTTCTATGTAAGCAGTGCCAAATAGATGATGATTTTAGTTGGTAAAATAGGTTGAAACATGAAATGTACACAAAATAATAAAAATGTCATAACTAATTTCCAGCAAGTACCTTTTGGGTTTATTTCCTTGATGCCAAGAAGAAGACTTACCTGCAGAAATACCGCCATTTCTGGCTCATCCATGAATTGGATCCCTGACTCGACCAACTTTGATACGTTCTCCAAATGATCGGAATATTTTTTGATCAGAGCTCGGACATGTTCCAGTTTCTCCTCTTGGGTTCGGGTGATGGCTTGGGTCATTTCATTCTTCCTCTCCTCCAGGATGCCATACAGGTAATCAAATTTCTCACAAAGGTCCTGCTTCTGTTTTCTGCAGCATTCCTGTTAGTTGGGTTAGCTAATGTTAGGAAGTGTTTGTGAGAAAGGCTATTTGGAAAAAAACACCTGGACATTTTGGGAGACAAAAACATTTAGTTACATAGGATATTTTATTTCTTTTCCCCTTTGAACTGTCCCTTGAGGTACAGATATCCACTGTGCTTTGAAAATTCCAGTTTTCACAAATTCAATAATTAGACAATCTAAAAATCAATCACATTGGCTAGGTGGATTGATGATTTTACAATCTTCTGTTCTTCATAAATGGAGAATTTCATAGAAATTAGGACAGGTTTTTTTTTTTTTAAATATTCTATTTGGGTTACCGGGGCTACAGCTTATATTTTTCTTTGGTGTATATATGTAAGAAGAAAAAGATGCTATTTCCTGGTTTGTTCCCTTCAGTTTCTCTCTGCTCTATCTATAACACTATTGTCCTAGTTTCAGACCTTCCACATAGATTCTCTAGCTTCTCCGAGTTTATGTTTCTGGGATTCCCTCCTCCAAGGACTCATGCCACAGACAAATCAATTTGCTATTAGTATAATTCTAATCGTGATGTTTTTCTATTTTGAATCCCCCTTGTATAAAGAATAACATTTAGGCTTCATAACTGGCTTTCAAGAGTATCCATGATCTGGCTCTAACTTTTCTTCATAATAGTCTAGTATTCTCTATCGTAATCCTTGTATTCCAGCAAAACCAAACCACTTACCTTCTTTGCTTCTGCTTTCCCCTTTGTCTACAATGTTCTCCCTCAAGTCTAAGCAACCTTCAAGACATTGTTGGAATACCACTTGTTCCATATAGCTTTCCTTGACCTCTATGACTGAATGCTAACTTGTAACCTTCTAAAGTCCTATGATAGTTAAAATTTGTGGCAGACACCTGTGTCCAACAGAATTTCTATTTATTCAGTACTGTCTAAGAGAGGGAAATACTAGAGGGAAAAGCTATATTGGAGGTTTGACTTGCACACGTACATTGCATGACTAAAGCATCTCTAGTGCCATCCAATTCCCCTGACTATGAATCCATGTTTAAATCATGACTAATTTTCCAATTGACTTAGTCATTAGCCTTTTATTTTTTCAAGCTCCAGAAAGCTTGGTGTGTGTGTGTGCCAGTCTCCTCAGACCTGATCATCTCTGGGTCCAGGACCTTTGTGAGCCATAATGATCCAACCTAGCTCTGGAATCCAGTTAATTTATCTTTGACATCTCTGTGCCTGACCTTTTTCACATGTTCTTTCATTTTAGTAAACACTGGTATTTTTGATGTCACATATTGCTTTCTTTGATACGAGTCTCTTAAATATGTAAACTATGGTCTTCCTCAAAGATAGAATCTGGGTCTGCCTTACACATGCCCATCAATTATAAAGACATTCCAAAATGCAGAAGAAATACATTCCTCACTCCACTGCCTTCCCTAAACAGTCAATTCTCATCACTGTTTCTAGCCAAACAATAAAGCATAAGGGAAAGCCAATGGTTCAAGCCATTTTAATAGCATTTCTATCATTTACCCACTCATTGAACAAACAAGACTTAATTTAGCATGTCTTTTGTGTCATGCACTGCGCAAGACTGGAGACCCCAAAATGAATTAAATGTAGTTCCTGATCTTAAGGACTTCACAGTTCACTGAATGAGAATGACTATGGACCTATAATGTAATGCAAACTAGGAGGCTGAATAATGGTAATATGTTAGAGATTTATGCCAGGTTTTACAGAAGCATAGGGGTGGGAACTTAATTTAACTCTTCCCGTAGGTGGGGGTGTTTGAAAGGGGAGTCAGGAGCGTTGGCTCACGAAAACCTTCTTAGGAGAAGTGGTGCCTAAGTTTGGCTTTAAAGGATGAGTAGGAGCAAAGGAGATGGTAGGAGGGGACAAAAATTGGGGAGCTTTGGTAGTTGTCAAAGTAACAGACAAGGGACCATGTAAGACATGGAAATTGCTGGGCTTGCCAAATTTCCATCCATTTCCAGCCCTTTGGACTGTCACAATTAGACCTAGGAACTGAAGTCGGTTAGTAGCCTTCTAATTTGTTTCTTTTACTGTATTACTTTTTTGCTAAGCTTACAGCACCCAATGTGCTCACTGCATAACTGGAATATGTCTCTCTGATACTTAGACTTTAGATATTCCAGCGCTTACTGGAAACATGATGGTTTCTAGCTTGTTCTTCCAATATGTATGGTATACTTTAAACATTTATAATGATTATATTAAGATGTAGTACTGAAAGAATGCCCTATTTTTATAAAAGTTTTCTTCTATATACTTTAGTGTGTGTGAGAATATTCAAGTTGATGAAGGCCAGGTCATTTGTGATGAGATTGATGTGAAATCATCTGTATTCTAGTGCATTGCTCAAATAAGACTAGATCGTTTATTTTAATTATATAAATGGTAGTGGTTTAAATGGAATAACTATACTTTCATTCCTATCTTATTTTCAGTTCTAAATATTATTTTATTTCTATTTTGCTTTTTAATGATTTGAATGATACTGAATTTGGATAAAATTACTGTCATTTTGATTATTTGCTTATGCTCTCTAGTATAGGAAATGCTACCCCATACATGGTCTATGCTTTAATTATAGTTATTATATCACTTTGAAAAGTACTTATAATATTACTAGGTTCAGAGAAGGCATGATATGAGCATTTACTAAATTTAGGTCCAATTCCTTACTTTGAATTTTTAGGTGGGAAATCTTGGAGTTGTATGGAACACTAAAAGTAGCCTGCTCCAGATCAATCAATTCACTCATGTGGAAACTGAAACTCCAAAGAGCTGTCACCTTCTCGAGGCCTTTCTACTATTTATTGTTGGTGCCTGGCCTAGAGTCAAAGTCTCTGAGCTCCTGAGTCATTCTATTTCTACCACACCCAGCTGTGTCTGTCCTTTTAAGTAACTTGGAAAAAAATTTACATAAAGTGCTTGTGAACTAAATATATGCCATCTAACAGACTACTATGCTGAATCTAGGCTTTTTTTGTGATTAGATCTTTTTAAAAGATTTTATTATGTCAATATTTATTGTAAGAACAAAAGGTCTTCAGTATAAAATATTTGAAAAAAATTTAAAATATGAAAAAGAAGTAAAAAAATAACTAAAATTCTATAGTTATTACCAATGATATTTTAGTATTGTTCCTACCATTCACTTATCAATGTCAATATTAACATATATAAATTTGTGTGATATAATTAGTAAATATGTAGGATAGTCATATGGCAATATAATCATAACTCTTTTTTAGAAAGGAAAACTTGAAAAAAATCATCTAAGCCACACTTATACAGACTATTAGTGGTAGGGCTAGGCTTGAGTTCCAGAGAAATTCCTGCTGTTTTAAAACTCCAACAGTGAGACCCAATGGCCATGTGCTGACACCAATAATAACATACACACCTCTCAGATGTGCCCAAAAGCCAGACAAAAGATGGCATCTAAAGTATAAACTGTAGAAAACCAGTTAAAAAATTGAATAAAAGGCAAATAATTAATAAAACATAGTAGAAATTTGCCTTTGCATAGAGATGTAGAAATTGAGCTTCCAAATAAAAATGTTCTTGTCAAAATCATCTAAAACAGAGCTGAGAGGCCATGGGAAATGCTCAGGTCACAAATGTGCATTCCAGGAACTGCCCCATTAGGTCAATGCAGAAAAACAGCCCGTCTTTTTGGAAGACAATGTATTTTCATTTTACACACTTTCAACATAAATGCTACAACCTTGAGACAGACTCTTCACAGTGACTGCTCGTGTTCACTAATCAGATCTCTCTAACTCACTTGCATACCAGGAAGATCAATCAACTTTCCTTCATAATAAAGTGCCTCCTCTGTCCTAATACAATACTCTGTGCTGTAGGCGTACTAGGGGCGACCTTGATCTGTGCATGTATGTTCTGGATTGCAATCTATGTTTTCGTTTGATTTTGACAAGGAAAACTTCATGCTACATTAAGGAAGCCAGATTAAATATGTGACCTATTTATATGAAAAAGAAATAAATAGGTGACCTATTTATATATATTATATACATAATTCTATGTATATAAGCTTTCCGGAAAAGGAAAAAGCAATGATTTGCAGAGCCTGGGAGTTTGGGGAGGACTGGATTTCAAAGAAACAGAAATTTGAGTCCAAAGAGCAGTTTTGTATCTTGACTGTAGTAGAGGTTGCAGACCTTTAAACATTTGTCAAAACTCATGGAATGAGTATTGGAAATCTAGAAATAAAACCTATTCCATATGGAAATACCATACAAGATAATTGTATTACAAATCAGTGGGGGAAAGACAGACAGTTTTGAATAGATGTTGGGGAGAAATTTGTCATATTGAAATAGATAAAATTACATTCATTTCTTGCACTATATTCTAGAATAAATTTCATTATGGGTTAGAGGTTTCAAAACTATGGTAAACCATAAAATAATAGAAGAAAGCATAGGTGCTAGGCACAGTGGTGCATGCCTCTAATCCCAGCAGCTTGGGAGGCTGAGGCAGGAGAATCACAAGTTCAAAGCCAGCCTCAGCAGTTCAAAGCAAGGTTCTAAGCAACCAGGTGAGACCCTGTCTCTAAAAAAAATACAAAATAAGGCTGGGGATGGGCTCAGTGGTAGAGTGTCCTGGGTTCAATCCCCAGTACCAAGACAAACAAACAAACAAAAAGAAGAAAAAGAAAGCAAAGGTGAAATTTTCAGTAACTTGGAATAGAGGAAGACTCTCTAATGTATGATTCAAAATTAAACATTGAAGAGGGAAAATATTGATTTCAATCAATTATGGTGATACATAAACAGAAATCTTCCATATGACAAAAAGTAAGCACAATCAATTGACAAATTATAAATTACATAAATTGAAAAATATGTCATGTGCAAAGGGATAAAATAGAAATGGAAAGTATAACAAATTCATAAAAAATAGGCAAGAAATATGAAAATACAATTTACAGAAAAAAATGTGAAATACTTCT